TATCTCCTGGCTTAAAACTTACCAAATGGGTTTTCAGTTATTCCAGCTTTTTGGATTTATTGCACTAAAGCTTCTATTCAAAATAGTATTACTAAGATTACAGATTAAAATTCAACTAATTAGTAATAGCTATTAAAATATATCACAAAGCTAATTTTTGAAAACATCGTTTATAAGATTTAAACTCTAGACTTGCTATTTGATGGTGCAACAACTTCACCACTTCACAAATTACTACACCTTCAGAAATATATTTTTTTAAATTATATAATTAATATATAGTCTGCAACTTTTTAAAAATCTTATATATTGTTTAATATATATCTATATACTTGCTGGCAAAACCCGGACAAATCCCAAATTCAAAAAAAACAATTGCTATTTGTAAAAGATTAAATTAAAAAAGTTGTTTTAATATTTTGCAAATATATTATCTATAACAATAAAAATATCTACTATTTGTTTAAACAAAAATTATTAATAAAGTTTTTGAGAAATTAATTTGGGATAAATTTGGGATTTGGGCATGAACAAATTCAAACAATAGTAATTTGGGATTTTGCTAACATGTATATATATCTATATTTTTAGCTTTATCTAAACCTATTAGCCAATCAAAATAACTTTAAATATTATATAACAAAAGTATGCTCTTAAGAGTATACTTTATTAGGATATTAACTATTAGTATCATTACAAACATAGTATAAGTGGCATAATAAAGATTATTAATTAAGATTTTTTATAATAAAATTTTAAGATCTGTATATATTAATTAATACTTATAAAAAAATTCACTTTATTGCACTTTTAATTTTTCTTACAATATTTAATATTTTCTAATTTTAACAACTTTATATATTTTATTAAATATATATTTATATTATAACAATATTAAATTTTACTTATTTTCTATTTTTCTATATTAATTTATCAAAAAAGTTTTTATATATTAATAGAGTAAATATTATTAATTATTAATAGACTGCTTAATATAAGTTAAAAGAAACCTATATTTGAATGAAAATTTTTTATTTAAATTTTATATATTTATAGAATTCAAATAAAAAAATTTTTATCAAATTTGGTTGAAATAATTTTGATTAAATCTTTAGATACAAATTAATTAAAATCTTGAATATAGAGTTTTTCTTAATAGCATTTATATAAAAGTATCTTTAATCATTAAATTTTACTTAATTAATATATTTTATATTTATTGTACAAATTCTTATAATTATAATTTTTTTTTGTCATTTTTTATATATTATTATATAAGTACAACAATCTCAAATTAAAACTCAGTTAGCTAATAATGATTTTTAAAATATTATAATTACACAATATTAGATATTATTATACAGATTATAGTAATAGTAATGCATTTATAATATTTTAATTTGTAATTAGAATATAACAAGTATTTAAAAGAATGAGTAATTTCTGATTTTTTGCTAACTCGGCTTTGTTTTTTATTTAACTTATCCAAAACTATTAAACAGTGAATTTCACACTTGTATATATAGCTTAGAACTTATTTTTTATAATTTTGATATAGTAAACAGAAATTATTCTAAATTTATTTATGATTAGGTCTATATCATTTTTCTGACAGTTTTTTACCTTAATATAGTAGTTGGAGTTTGTTCTAACAAGAATTTATTTACAATTAGGTTTATGTTATTTTTCTAACAATTGTTTATTTTGATATAGTAGTTGGGGATTGTTCTGACAAAAATTTATTTACTTTTAGGCTTTGACAATTATCTATCTTGATATAATAATTAGTGATTGTTTTGACAAGAATTTATTTATTATTAAACTTATGTTATTTCTCTAACAATTATCTAGTACCTAAAATTATTAAGAAAACAACTATTAAGCAATGTGTATTATTATTTATCAGTATATACACATTGGCAATATCATTATTATTAAATTAAGTAGTAAAGCTTATAGAATATAAATAGAAAAGACAAAAGAATATTTTTTGTAATTTTTTTATTTAAATATAGTATGATATTTTGTAATCGAGTAAATAAAAAACCAAGCAAAAATTTATTAATAAAATTCAAATATACTGTTGAACCTTCCAAAATTGATCCTTTTAAAATCAATAATCTGTCAAATCTGATAAAAAATTAGTCGACCAAGTCCATTTCCATTATATAAATTTAATAGTTTATAATGTTTTTAAATCTGATAATCTCTCAATACTAATACAAAATCTGTTTACTATGCGTACTGGTTTTAGAAGATTCAATAGTATATGAATAAACTTTTAAGAAAATAAATATTTATGGGTTAATTAAATTTAAAAAGTAAACAACTTAAACAGATTTGAAGTTTGTACAAATGTAAGCAACTAAAAGTGTTGCATAAAATTAAAAATAATCCTAGTACTATACTTAATTACATAATTCCAGTTTTTGTACAACTAAATAATAATAATTTTAATAGTACAATAAAACAAATTTATAAATCTCAGAAAATAAATACTTGAATTTAAAGAAAATATAATGATATAATTATTCAAATCTGTAATCTACCAGATCAACAAGTACTTAACATATCTACTCTATTTCAAACAATAACTTATCCTTGAGGAATTCATAAAGAAAAATAATTTTTACACATCTGCAAAAAAAGGCTTTAAAGTTTGTTAATTCTGGTCTCTATAAACATCACTACACTGTTAATATATTAGAATTAAGATCTAAATTTTTTTTAAAAAAAATTCATTGGTTAGAAAAAAATAGTTTATTCTTAAATACTAAGGTTCACTTACTTTCAATACAATTGGTAAAAGCAAAAAAACAATAAAAAAAAAATTTTTCAAAAATTTAAGCTGTAATTCAATATACAAAACAAATTAAGCCTACTTAATTTCAAAATACTGCTAGTAAATTATTTAAAGTTAGTAATAAAAAATATAGTACAGAATTTATAAAACTAGCTATTAATATTAGTATTATAAAACACACTTCTATTCATACAACAGTAAAATACACTAAAGCTATTTTTTAATTTTTAACAGGAGAATTTTCACAACAATGAGTTGCACTATTTACTTTGGCAATATGAAATAAAGAAGTAGCAGCTTTGTCTTTTAATCAAAATTGTCTTAAAGAAAATTTATCTTGGTTTTTTAGATATAGTATTATGGTTGATAAAAGTACATGAAGTAGAAAAAAATTGTTAATTATATGTTTTTTTCATTGAATAGTATTAAAGAAGAGCCCATAATTATAGTAGTAAAATTAACAAACCTAATATATTGTAATGCAAAAACAGTTTTAGCTACTATATTTGAAACATGACAGTATCATAAAATCAATTCTAAAAAATATCACTTTTTGCTAATAGACAATACTATTTACATGTTTTTAGAAACTCATAGTACAACTGCTAAATTTAATTTATTAGCAGCATTCAAATTATTTCAAATTTTTTGTAGATTATATATAGTTTAAATTACCTTAATAAATTTTGAAAATACAATATTTGGAAAATTAGATGGTATTAAAGGATTGTTATTAAAAAAACATCTATATAATTTACTTAATCTTGCCTTTTATCTTTATAACAAATACAATATTTTAGACAAAAACAGTTTATTAAATTTAAAGTCTGAAATATTATGAAAGCTTTATAAGTTTTTATTTAATTTTGAAATAAATAAATATTAACAACCTATTTATCAATAGTGATTATATGAACTTAAACAGCTAGACAGTATTTTGTTAGATAGTATATTCATTTTCTTTTGCTCAGTTTTTTATTAAGCAACTTGAAAATACAAAAAATGGTTCTAAAACATTTTTGTATAAATGGAAAGTTTTTCTTGAATAGCTTGCTAATAAACAAATTAATCTTCAATTGTGATATCTTGTTAAATTTGGGCAAGAATTTTATAAACCTATTTATAAATTTATAAATAGTTATAATCCAATTCTACAAATTTATAAAGAAAATCAAAAGATAATACTTCCACCAGAAAATCATATTCACAAAATGCCAGATAAAATATTAAAAACCTTTAAGACTATCTGGATAATATTTATGTATTATTTGACAAAAAATTAGCTAATGCTAAGCATAAATTAAATACTACAGATTTTGAAAATTTTTGTAAATTATTATATAATAATATAGAAAATATATTAAATGGGTTTATTAAATAGATAGAAACTTGGGGTTACTTACTATTATATATCTATCGATTAGGTAAAAAAAATGAATCTAAATTTGTTTATGCATTCTTAAAAGTATTTTTTTCCTGAAGTTTATTAAAAGAATAATCTATAACAGAGAGTTTATATATTGAAAGTTTAAAATTAAACTTATCTAATAGACATACAACAACATTTGAATTATTAAAAAAGCTAAACTATCCAAACTTTTTTGAAGAATTTAAAGCTTTTACAAATTCTAATATAATAAAGCCAGAAAAATTTTCTCTTGTATATAAATTTTTTAAGTTTTGTATTTGGAATATCATAATATATCAACAACAGTTAGAGAGCCTATTCAATTGTTATAATATAAAAATTCACTCAAATATGAATATTTATTTGCAAGAATCCCAAATTCAGCTTAGTAGATTGGATAGTAGAATTTAATAAATATCTTGGAGTGATTTGCAAAATATTTGCCAAAATGCTAAAAATTCAGCATTGAATAAGATATTGGAAAATTATATTGAAACTTCTAGAAAAGAAAAGATATATGAAGTTCTTAATAATTTTCTTCTGTAACATTATTAAGGGCCTTCGCCATGGTTAATTAACGCTACACTTCACCATGATAATAAAAACTTACACCCTTAACTACAATTTAATAAACAAAACACAGTTCTAGTATAAAGCAGAATAATTGAGAACATTTTTTCGTTATCACACCTTATCACCGCAAAATATATAATCAATCAAATAAAAAATGGTTAATTTAATAAAGAGATACAGAGAAATAATTTTACATGATACATGTAGTATAATATATTACATTTTATCTTGTAGCTCTTGAGTCTCTATATCAATAATCGTTTTTTGAATACTATCATTAATTCTCGAATACAACTCGAGATGCTCACTACGATTAATACCCACAATCTCTGAACTATGGTTTACAGAAAAAGTGTCCATCTTATCAAACCAAAAGATCGCTTCCCATTCTTTTGTTTCTTGATTTTTGACACATAATTGAAAATCATT